CCTCCTCCTCCTCATCTTCATCATCCTCCTTCTCCTACTCATCCTCATCATCATCCTCCCTCCCCCTCATATCCCTCCTCCTCCCGCCTCCCTCCTCCTCCTCCTCCTCCTCCTCCTTTTCCTCTTCCTCCCTCTCTTCTTCCTCCTCCTCTTCCTCCATCTCCGCCTGCTCCTCGTCCTCCTCCTCCTCCTCCTCCTCCTCCTCCTCCTCCTTATCCCTCTTCCTCATCCCCCTCCTCCACCTCGCAAAACACTCGACGCCGGGATGTGTTCACAACGTGGGCCCAGCATATCCGGACGACTTCCCGGGGCCGCCTGTTCATCCCGCCTTGTGTCTTACGGTCCAGGGGCCCCGCAAGGGCCCCCTGGAGGCTGGAACTTGTGCAAAAGCTTCCCGTCGTGTTTTTTCGTCCCGACGCGAGGTGGGAGCAAAGAAAAGCGACACCACCACCACCACCACCAGGGCGAGGAGCCAGGGGATGCCCCCTGGTGATGTGGCCACACCTCCCCGCTCGAGATATCCCCAACCTCCAGCTTGAAGGGGCATCGCGGACCTTCTCGATGAAGGTGGCTCCCCTGGTGGTGGTGGTGGTGGTGGTGGTGGTGGTGGTGGTGGTGGTGGTGGTGTGGTGGTGGTGGTGGTGGAGGTGGTGGTGGTGGTGGTGGTGGTGGTGGTGGTGGTGGTGGTGGTGTCGCTTCTCCTTCCCCGAGCGAGAGGGACTGGGTCCTGCACTCTGCCCCGGGCCTCAACGGCCTCCGGACGGGAGGCGCCCACCCTCGAGGGCGGCGCGGCGGGCCCGACGCGACGCCGACGGCGTTCCCTCGGGGCCTCTCCTGCCTTTCATTTTGGGGGAGCCGGTTTCGGAACCAGGGGCCGTCGAGAAACAGGAACCGGGGCAAAAAACTACTCCAAGAAGATGCGAATGCGGCCCCGGTCGGGCCGGGGCGGGGGGAACGCAGCCCCGGGAGGGAAGGAGGGTGGGAGGAAGGAGCAGCAGGAGAAGGAGGGAGCAGGAGGAAGCGAGTCAGAAGCAGGGATCGTGTGCATCCTGAAGGACGCGTCATGAACCTGTGAATTTCCCACCTAATATTTGTACTACCACGGTCAGGGGAGAAGCAGATCCCACGGGGAATGCAATGGCATCGGGGTAGAGCAAGGCAAGACCGATCTCAGGGAGCTGGTGGTAAGCCACGATGACTTCCGAACCCTCAACAGGCTTCCGAAAACCACTCCATCTTCTCCTCGTCGTCGTCGTCCTCCTCTTCCTCCTCCTCTTCCTCCTCCTCCTCCTCCTCCTCCTCATCGCCGGGGCCCGCGATGGTGGAAAATAGCCTCCACAAGGCACGGCGCCCACCCTGGGCCGAAGACGGCGAAGAAGCGTATCCTAATGGAGGCTCGAAGCCTGACGATGAACCAAGGGAACATGTGATCCTGCAGCGTCTCCCGCGAGACCAGCACAGGGGGAGAGACCACCAGCATGGCCCATGGCATCTGTTTGTCGCGCACCCGTGACATGCATCTTGGGAGCCCTTCGGGGGCTTCTGGCGGCGTCTTGGGGGCCTCCGGGGCGCTTCTTGGAGTCTCCTGGGAGCGTTCTGGGGCCGAAGGCTCGAACAGTCCGTTCGGATTCCCTGTCTGGGTCCCTTCTTAGAGCCGTCTTGGGGCTATCTTGGACCGTCTTGGAGGCCTCTTGGGCTGCTTGGGTCCCTCTTGGGCTGTCTTGGGGCCGTCTTGGGAGCCTCTTGGGCCGTCTTTGGGCGATCTCGGGAATCTCTTTGGCCATCTTGGAGCGCCAGGAAGCCGCAAAGGTGAGAACCACAAAACATCCTCCCACCAAACCCTTGAAAAACAACAATTGTTAGCCTCTTGTGGCCCTCTTGAAAAAGCCTCTTGGAGGCCTTTTGGGGTGTCTTGGAAGCCTCTTGGGCCGTGTAGGGACTATCTTGACTGGATTGGACCGATCTTGTGGCGTCTCGGAGCCCTCATGGACATCTTGGGTGCTTCCTGAGGCCGTCTTGGAGGCCTTCTGGAGGCCTCCTGGGCCGTCTGGAGGCCCCTTGGAGGCGCCAGGGCGGGGGTATTGAAAAAGGAGGGCCCAAGGGTTTTGAGGTGGGCGGGGCCCCCGGGCTGGGGACTTGGTATTCATGCATCCACATATATCCTCTGGGGGCCTCCTTGGCGCCTTCTGGCGGTCTTCTGTGAGGCCCCGGGGCTCTCCGAGGGCCCCGGGGCCCACATTTGCGGCCGTCTTGGGCCTTTCGTGGGCCGTCCTGGAGCTCTCTGGGGCTGTATTGGGTCCCTCTGGGGCGCGTCCTGGGCCGGACCGACAGCGAAAACAAGCAATATGTAAAACATATACGTTTTACAAAGACATATACGTTTTACAAAGGGAATGGGGCTATTTTGGCCCCTTGGGGCTCCCTTTGGGGCCCAATTGGGGGTCGCTTGGGGTGTCTTGGGGGCTTCTGAAGCCTCCTTGGCGGGGCTGCCCGAGGGCCCCGGGCCCACATTTGCGGCCGTCTTGGGCACTTCGTGGGCCGTCCTGGAGCTCTCTCCTTGTAGGGCCACGAAACAATGTACTGGGTGGGGGAGACGCATGCGCCACTGGAACCTTCGGTGGAGCTCCCTACGGGGCCACGAAGCGCTGCACTGGTGGGGGAGACGCATGCGGGCTGCGCCACTGGACCTTCGTCGGAGCTCCCTATAAGGCCACAAAGCGAAGTACTCGGTGGGTGAGACGCATGCGGGCTGCGCAATTGAGACCCTCGGTGGAGCTCCCTATGGGGCCACGAAATGCTGTATTGGGTGGGAGGGACTCATGCGGGGTGCGCTAGTGGAACCTTCGGTGGAGCTCCCTATGTGGCCACGATCGGTGTACTTGGTGTGGGAGACGCATGCGGGGTGCGCCACTGGGGCCTTCGGTGGAGCTCCCCATGGGGCCACGAAGCGCTGTACCGGGTGTGGCGGACGCATGCGGGCTGCGCCACTGGGACCTTCGGAGGAGCTCCATAGGGCCCTTTCGGGCCGTCCTGTGCGCCTCTGGCGCCGTCTTGGGGCCCCCTTGGGCCGTCTTGGGGCCGTATTCGAAGCCCCTGTGGCTGTCTTGGAGCGGACAATATGACATCTTGGGTCGTCGTGGAGCGTCAGAACACTGAAAAGGCGAGAACTTGAAAATCCTTCAAAAACCTTTGGAAAATCATTAACAAGTTGTGCCTCGCGGGACTCCTTTGGAGGCATCTAATCTAGGAGGTTTCTGGGGGCGTCTTGGAGGCCTCTTGGATAGTCAGGGGCTAATTCTGGCCGCCTTGGCCGTCTTGGCCGTCATTGGTCGTTCCCGCAATCTGGAAGCGCCATGTTTGGCGATCCTGGGGCCGTCTTCGGGCGATCTTAGGGGGCCCCCGGCGCCTCGGCAAAACCCCCGGAACTTCCCAGTCCCCCAGATGGGGACACATGTTTGGGGACCGCGGGCCTGTGCATATATATATATATATATATATATATATATATATATATAATCACACGCACCTCTCCGAGGAAGTAGAGCTCAGAGCCGATTAGTGCGTACGCGGGGCGCCGCGTCCGCGATTTGTCTGGCCGTTTTGCTAGGGACATCCTCGAAATTCTGAAAATCGGTGTCACCCCTAACGCAGATCGTGACGTCAGGGTCAAAAAACACATGGGGAATTTCAACATTCTAACATAAAACCTCCAAAAAGCACATTGTAATTTCAATGATTTTAACCCCGATTCGCAAAGAATGGCGATTTCGCCTAAGACATCCTCCCAAAATCGAGCCCCGACGTACCTTCTGGTACCCCAGACCCCGCCTCGGAGCCTCTTGGGAACCTCCTGGAACCTCCTGGGGCCTCCTGGGGCTTTTTGCACCTTCTGGTACCCCAGACCCCGCATCGGAGCCTCCTGGGG